AGAAAGTCAGGCCTCTTTGCTAAATCATATTCTTTAGTGGGAGTGTCGATGAAGCAACCGTATATTTGCTATAGCAATCGACTATGCTACTTATATTTGAATAAGAGTAGAGTTTCGAGACTAACACTTAATCAGAAATATGTTAGTAACTAGGTTTTTGAGACTACCGGTAGACTATGCTCATGATGCGTATTCATCCAATTTCGATAAATGTGATAAGGCGACAGGAGCAGAAGTCTACTCATACATTGCATCTTTGCTAGAAAACCCAGCAAGCAGATCTCGTAGACTTGGTCGCCTTGCACGTCATGATGGCATCAAGGAGCTGCAGGGCAGCAGGAATCCACTGTCGCCATCTGGTAGGACCGACCTACGAATCGCTCCAAATTCTTGTCTTCCGTTGCGAATCAGACTTCTGTTAATCACCATCCAGCCTGTGAAATAGACCGCCTGTATGATCGACTATAACGGCCACGGAATCTAGACGATCTCTTATTTGCATATATTCATTTAGCCATTCGTTTATCTGTTAATTATTTGGTCGCTTTACGTGTTCGTACGTGCCTATTGTCAACGTGAAGCAGACGACCTACAGCGGCGTAATTTCTTCCTCTCTCCTTCGGGACACGATACAGCGGCCAAGGGAGGCGAGACTCGCGAGTCATGCGATCGCGTTAGTTCGTTCCAGAATAGGGGCTCTGGAGAGAGAGACGGGAGGAATGGAGCAGGGCGGCTGCCTCATCAGGCATGTCCTGCAACAATGGGTCTTCTCCTCCACTTCCGGCAGCCTGTCACCAAGACACAGCTCAAAAGCTGCTCATTTCCCGCGAGACGCATGAGCCAAGCCCAGCTTGAGGTTGCCTGAGCCGGGAGGGGACGAAAAATGGCACGTCAACACACCGGCACACACAAGAGCTCACATGCAAGCTGCATACAGAATTTGCGGGCGAGAAGAAGGCACAGGCTTGACAGGAGAAAAGGAGAAACTGCGATCATTTTTGCGTTTTAAGCACAAAAGGCAGACATTAGAAAGTGGGCTTTTGCCGATTTATTCTATGGACAGATTTTCTATTATAAATTGATTGTAGATTATGCAGTGAAACCCGATCCGAGCGGTAATTCACAAAAAATCACTTGATAAATGTAACCTTTGATGCATGGGCAAGCCAGCGGGGGGGGAACGAAGGTAGGATTTTGTCGATTTCTTTATTTCCTCTCTT